ATTCTGAGACAGGATCTGTCTAAGTGGACACGGTCAGTATTTTACTTGCAGCCCTACTACTGCAGCATTTCATGATCTGCAGTTACAGATTTGTGCCCTCACACCTACTTGAAAATGATCTGCAGAAACAAAATGTGTTCTAGACTGACAGATCCTCTCCTTTCCTCTGCAAGTCTTGCCTAGACCCTCTCCCACCCCTACCCACTCTCCCTACTTACTTACCTTCAGAGCTACAGTTGGCTTTCCTTTGGGCTGCCAGCTCACAAATAATAACACAGAGACTTGTGATTAATTATGAAAGATTGGCCTTAGCTTAAGGATTTTCCCCCAACAAGCTCTTACGACTCAAATTAGCCTATTTTTATTAATCTCTATTCTGCCATGTGGATCAGTTGTTTCTCCTCTGTACCACCCAAAAATATATGCATCTAGAACAACTTCAATGGTGCTAACTGAGATTACTCACAGATTACTCTCACCAGGACTTCAGCTATGCCCTTACTTTTCCATTACACAAAGACTGGACAACAAAAAATACAGCTACCTCTCCCAGGACTTGATCATTATCCTAATTTTCTCAGGGTCCTCTAAAGAAGCTATCATCTATAGACAACAGGAAACAATCTAGAGAATACAATGCCCACATTCCCAAGAGGTGGAGTGAATGGTTTTTGGTTGTTCAGTGCGTTATGAATGTTTGTCATCATTTTGGGGACATTAATTGCAAGTTGTTATTGGTCATGATCAGGGAGGAAATCCAGCAAAGGAGATTAGGTTCAGGGATCTTAGTCTGAAAAGAAAAAATGGGGAGTATATAGGAATAATAGGCTAAGCGAGATCCTCTTGCCTCTGCCTCCCTAGTGCTGGGATTAAAAAATGTGTGCACCACCACTGCCTGGCTGGATATTATTATTTTTTTAAACAATTTATATATTTGTTTATTTTCGGCTGTCTGTACCCATTTTCTTTTATTTCTTTAACATCTAAGCACATTTTTAAGCATTCTATACCTGTTTAGAGGTTTTTTCCTGTTTGGATCTGGCTTTACTAAATCCTACAACATTCTATGAGCATGTGAGTCAGAGCTTAAACTGCTGGGTGGCAACTAGGCCCTCTGCTGCACAGCTAGTGCACATGATGTGCACATGGGTCCTGGTAGCTAGCTCCACCCCCACCCCCATCTAACAATCCCTCTTCTGGAAAGCTGCTATGTCCAGGCTGTGGGAGGCATTTCTATCTAATCTCCCTCTCCAGTAGCACACAAGCTGGTCATGTGCACGGCCATATAAAAGGGCCACACCTCTATATGCTATAAGCACTGGGCCTGCTTGAGAGATCAAGGTCATCTGGAAGCCATGTCTGAACTTTGTGTTCAGAATTTTTTTTAACCTTTCCCAGGCATTATGTGGATATACATACATACATATATATATACATACATACATACATACATACATGGCACCAAATGTAGTTGGACTTTCCTCTGGCCTCCAGCTCACAAATAACAACATGGAGACTTATTATTAAAATTTGAAAGCTTGTCTTTAGTGTAGACTTTGACCCAACTAGCTCTTATAAGTCAAATTAACCTGTTTCTATTAATCTCCATTCTGCCATATGTTTCTGTTACATCTCCTCTGTAACTAACATATGTCCAACTTCTTCAGTGTCTTGCTGGCAGCACTTGCACATCTAGCTTCATCCCAGGTTCCTCTCTTTGCCTAGAAGTCCTACCTATTCTCACCTACCTAGCTGTTGGACATTCATCTCTTTATTAAACCAATCACAGTGATACATCTTCACAGTGTAAACAAATGTTCCTACAATCCAAAATCTAACTCAAATGATAACCTTTTTCCCTAGCTTTTCTAGGTAGTTACACTTTATATTTCTCATGTTACTATTCCTAGGTTCATCACAGTCTACCCTCATTCTGAAATGCAAAGTTCAAGATTGTCTTCCTCCCTGACTATTTCAATTAGTTTCTTGTGTTTTCTATTTTTATTTTTTCAGTGTTCTTTAAAAAGTATTTTTTTTTCACTTTTACTTTATGGGTATGAATTATTTCCTTGCATATGTGTACACCATATGCATGCTGTGCTTGAGGAGGCCCAAAGGTATCTGAACTTTGCAGGTGATTTTAAGCCACCATGTATATTGGGAACCAAACCCAGATCCTCTGAAAGAACAGTTGTCTTCATCTCTAAGCTATTTCTCCAGCACCTTTTTAAAACATTTATAAATTAACTTTTGTTAGCATACAGATTAGATTTTCAATATGATTCTTTCATACATTTCAGTCAGTAAAACAACATAACACATTTTCTTTATTCATTCGTTCATTGATAGGCATCTGGACTGGTTCCATATCTTGATTATTTTAACTAGTGCTGCAGTAAACATGTCTGTGCATTTTTTAGTGGTTTGCTAATCTAGATTCTTTTAGGTTAATACTCCAATAGTGATATAGATAAGTCAGATGGTAGGTTTTTGTTTTGTTACTTCACTTTTTTGTTGAAATTCCTGTACTAATTTACATAGAGGCTGTACAAGTTTACACCCTTCTTAGTGGTGTTGGAAGTTCTGCCTTCCTGACATCTTTGCTAGCATTTGCTGTCACTTGTTGTCTTGATGACAGTAATTTTGACTTTGAGGGAGATGGAATCTCAGTATGATTTTAATTTGTATTTCTCTAATTGCTATGGCTATTATTCATTCTTTTTCAAATATTTATTAGCCATTTGAATTTTTGTTTTACAAACTATTTAATTTATTGACCCATTTATTGATTAGAGGATTTGTTTTATTGGTATTTAACATTTGAGTTGTTGATATATTGAGAGATGACTTCTTAGGCCAGTATATAGCTGGCAAAGATTTTCTCTAATTCTGTAGGCTATCTCTTTCCTCTGCTCATAGTTTCATTTTATGTAGTACCATTTTTTGGTTCTCCTGAACCATTGGAGCCTTTTTTTTTAGAAGAACTTTATGCCTGTGAATAAATCTTGAAGTATTTTCCTGTTTTGTTCTAAAAATTTCAAAATTTCAGGTCTTACATTAAGGTTTTTAATTCATTTTGAATTTTTTACAGGATGAGAGAGAGGTCTAGTAGCATTCCTGGACATATGTGTGTAGGCAGACATTTCTATCCCAACTGGTCCCACAACTGTTCAGTCTTTTTTTTTTTTCCATTTTTTTATTGAGAAAAGGAGAAAAAAAAAAACAAGTTTCTACCTCCTCCCAGCCTCCCATTTCCCTCCCCCTCCTCCCACCCTTCTCCCCCTCCTCCCACCCTTCTCCCCCTCCCCCCACTCCTCTCCCCCTCCCTCTCCAGTCCAAAGAGCAGTCAGGGTTCCCTGCCCTGTGGTAAGTCCTAGGTCCTCCCCTCTCCGTCCATTTCTAGGAAGGTGAACATCCAAACTGGCTACGCTCCCACAAAGCCAGCACATTACGTAGGTTCAAAACCCCGTGCCATTGTCCTTGGCTTCTCATCAGCCCTCATTGTTCGCCATGCTCAGAGAGTCCAGTTTTATCCCATGCTTTTTCAGTCACAGTCCAGCTGGCCTTGGTGAGCTCCCAATAAAAAACAATGACTTCTCGAATTTTGCATGCAAATGGATGGAAATAGAAAACACTATCCTGAGTGAGGTAACCCAGACCCAAAAAGATGAATATGGGATGTACTCACTCAAAATTGGTTTCTAGCCATAAACAAGGGTCACGGAGTCTACAATTGGTGATCCCAAAGAAGCTAAGTAAGAAGATCCTTCATCTGGTGATGGATGGAGATAGAGACAGAGACCCACACTGGAGCACTGGACTGAGCTCCCAAGGTCCCAATGAGGAGCAGAAGGAGGGAGAACATGAGCAAAAAAGTCGGGACCACGAGGGGTGCACCCACCCACTGAGACAATGTTCAGTCTTAAAGAAACACACAGAGGTTTATAGTGATTATAAACTATTTGGCTTGTTAGCTCAGGCTTATCATTAACTAGCTTTTATAACATACATGAACCCATAATTTTGTCTATATTTAGCTACATGCTTTGGTCCCTTTTCTCAGTAAGGCATATTTTCATCTTGTTTCCTCTTCATCTGGCTAGTGACTGCATCTCTCTCTGCCTTTCTTCTTCCCAGAATTCTCCTACTCTAGTTGCCCTGCCTATACTTTCTGCCTGGCTGCTGGGCCAGTCGGTGTTTTATTAAACCAATACAAGTGACGAATCTCTACAGTGTACAGGAGCATTATCCCACAGCATGTGTGTATTGTTTTGCAGCACCATTTGTTAAAGAGATTGCCTTTTCTATAATATATGCTTTTGACAGTTCTCTCAAAAATCATATGTTTGTAACTGTGTGACTTTTGTTCTGGGTTCTCTATTCTATCTCATCTGTTTAGTTTTTATATTACACGATGTAAAATAAACCTCTTATAAGAAGTAGCCCCATAGATATATAGCACTACTCAAACTGCTTAGTTCCTAGTAGTTACTCATTTTATAATTTGGTAGATATTCTTTGAGAACTTTACATACTCAGGTGTATGTTTTTCTCTGTGTGCATTTATCTATCTATTTATTTTTTTCAAATAGTGAAATAATGTTATATCAATTTTCTAGTTTATCTTTTTTTGTGATGTTCATCTTATTCCATTTTTATGGGTATTTTGTCTTCATGCCACATGAGTACCTATCAGAAGAAGGTGTCAAAGCCCCTGGAACTAGAGATACAAATGGTTATGAGCCATCATGTAGTTGCTGAGAGTTGTACCTTGGTCATAACTGAGCCTTCTCTCCAGCCCCTCAGAGGTTTTCTTTCCTAATGTTTTGTCTTAGAGATCTTTCCACAGCAGTACATGCATCTGTATCAATTAATAGAATTTTATCTCATGGTGGGAATATTCTCTAACTCATTAGATAGTTCACTCAATGCCCCAAAGAAACTAAAGAGTAAGTCTTATTAATCCTAGATATCTTATATTATAATTTTGTTTAATTTAGATTTTGCACCCTGATCTGGAAGTAGCAGATCATGCTTTCCCTCCTCCACGAACAGCGTTATCCCATTCAAAAATGCTGGTAAGAAATTTAATATTCAAATTTAATATTTTTGAGTTCTGTACATTTATTTTTAGGTTTGTCGAAGAAGCTGAGTTAGAGGTACTCCCAAATAGAAACTAGAATTCTTCTATTCTCAAAAAGTGTTACAATGCAGCATACTGGCCAGAAGAGGGGATTTAGTTTTCTGTTTAGGAAGCAAGAGTAAAGACAGAAAAAAAAATCAGAGCCTCAGCTATACCCAGGAAAACTACCCAATATAAGAATTTGGATTCTTCTGTTCTTGTAGTGCTATGTATCAAACAAAGTGCCTTTCTCTTGCTATGCATGTGCTATATCACTGAGCTACATCTCTAATAGGGTGGATACTTAGAAAAATGAAATAATGAATGCTGATTTTAGGAGAAAATCAGGTTTGAGGTGTAAGTGCCCAAAGGCGATTGGATTAGCAGTCATAAACGAATAGGATAGATGATACCCCCTTTTTAAAAAATATTTATTTTTATTTATTATGTATACAATATTCTGTCTGTGTGTGTGCCTGCAGGCCAGAAGAGGGCACCAGACCTCATTACAGATGGTTGTGAGCCACCATGTGGTTGCTGGGAATTGAACTCAGGACCTTTGGCAGAGCAGGCAATGCTCTTAACCTCTGAGCCATCTCTCCAGCCCGATGATACCCCTTTTTTATTTTGCCCAGTTCATGTCTTAGAGGTGAATGTGTGACCAGTGGGAGACTTTAAAGAGCTGTGGTCCTTTGAAAAATGATGTAAGAATTCTTGACCTTAATTTCTTTATCCATTAAATTAGGTATTGACTAAAAAAATATGGAATTTTATTTAACAGTTTTAAAACTGTTTCTATTAAAACGTAGATTAGCAAGACTTACTTTTAAATCAAATTTCATTAGAATAAGAATAGGTTTTTATAATTTGGATGAATGTTGGAAAAAATTTTTAAGTCTTTAAAATATAATCTTTTAGTGTTTTCCCTTTTATAATCTTTACTATAATTTTTTGCATGTGTAAAAATAAAAGGTATTGGCATATATTCCTTTCTCTCACATAGTAAAAGAGGAAACTGTGCTGCTTTTTTTTTCCTGTGGAAGAAAGCTGTATGCTCTTGAATCTATTTGTTTCAGTAGAAAAAAACAAACCATTTGCCCCAAGAATAGGTAGACTATCATGGTCTGTGCCTGCTGCTTGGAGAAACACGCATGGTAAGCACAGCACACTTGCTCACTCAAGCTTTCTTCCTTCTCTGTTTTACTTAATTTGTTTTTTTATTAAATTAAATTACCTGTGTGTTTCTTTTTATATTTCCAGGATAAAGAAGTACGAGCAGTTTTCCTTAGGTTGTTTGCACAACTGTTCCAAGGATATAGGTCATGCCTCCAGCTTATACGAATCCATGCTGAGCCTGTGATACATTTCCACAAAGTAAGACACAGTGCCAGGTTGTCTGTCAAGTGGACTCACGTAAAAGAACCCCTCTCTTAGACATATATATTCAATTAATTTTTTGTATATGATTAAAGTCTCTGTGTTATGTGACACATGGAGTTGGCATAATATTTTTCTTCAGAATACATAAACTTAAAATTGATGTTTCTCTTAATAAAGTTGAGTATTAATACCTGATTTTTTTCCTCCTGTCTTTTAGATGAATTAATTTTTATTCTTTCCAATGCATGTAGCATTTCATGTACTAGACAAAACCATTTGAGAGAAACATGTTTCATGACCATGTTGAGTTACACCTGAAAGCATTCAAGCAATCATCAGTCTTTTTATTTTTATTTTAGTCATTTGTCCATTTCCCAATGATAAATTATTATTTCACATTGTTTTCCTTTACAGACAGCTTTCTTGGGGCAGCGTGGTTTGGTTGAGAATGATTTCCTCACTAAAGTGCTCAATGGAATGGCATTTGCAGGTTTTGTTTCAGAAAGGGGACCTCCATTTAGAGCCTGTGATCTCTTTGATGAGGTATAGTTCTTATCAATGACTAATAATTAAAAGCAAAAGCTGTTATTTTAATGTTTACTCAAATTCATAGACATTATAAATTAAATATTAAATGATCTAAGTATTGTGTATCAAATCATAACATTTATAATGTATGATGGAGGAGAGTCATCTGTCTATGTGTTACTCTCATTGGTTAATAAAGAAACTACCTTGGCCTTTGATAGGACAGCAGCTTAGATAGGTGGAATAGACAGAACAGAATGCTGGCAGAAAGAAGTAGATTCAGGCAGATGCTATAGCTCTCCTCTCCAAGATGGATGCAGGTTAAGATCTTTCCTGGTAAGCCATCACCTTGTGGTGCTACCTCATTAATAGAAATGGGTTAATCAGGATGAGAGAGTTAGCCAATAAGAGGCTGGAACTAATGGGCCAGGAAGTGTTTAAAAGAATACAATTTGTGTGTTATTATTTCAGGTGAAAACTAGCCGGGTGCCGGGAACGCAGCCTGCTGCTCCTTTTACAAAGTGAAATGAATAGATAGTTATAGTTTTCCTTAGTTAAGATAAAAGATAAAATAGATATAAATATTGTAACTGTAATTCTTGCTTTATAACTGTTTTGTTATATATAATTTTACTATGTTAAAGTTAAAGTCTTTCTTTTTTTGTTTAAATAGAAAAGGGGGAAATGATGGAGGAGGGTCATCTGTCTATGTGTTACCCTCATTGGTTAATAAAGAAACTGCCTTGGCTTTTTGATAGGGCAGGATTTAGATAGGTGGAGTAGATAGAACAGAATGCTGGGAGAAAGAAAGCATAGTTGGTCAGATGCCATGGAGCCAGCCTCCAGGTCAGACATGCTGAATCTTTCCTGGTAAGCCACCACCTCGTGCTGCTACACAGATTATTAGAAGTGGGTTAGTCAAGATGTGAGAGTTAGCCAAGAAGAGGCTAAATATAATGGGCCAGGCAGTGTTTAAAAAAAATACAGTTTCCATGTTATTATTTCTGGGGCTAAACTAGCCATGTGGGAGCCAGGCGGGACAAAAAGCAGGCCTGCTCGCCTCATCTCTACAAATGTAAATTGAGAAAATTATAGAATGTTTCAGACGTACATAAAGATTTTTAGCAACTGCGATTGAATAGCTTCTTGGTTCTTTTTGAAAATTAGACAGTGTTTGCATAAATAAAACTCAGTTTTTAAAATACAGTTGTTCAGTGATTGTAAGTCTGCAGCTGGGTCTAACTTGAAGCATAGATGTGTGACTTTAAATTGCAGTTCTATTTAGTTAATCAATGTCATAGACCTGTAATTTAAATTTATAGCATTCCTGCTAACAATAATTGCAATTTTTCTAGCAACTTCAGTAGAAATATTTGGTACAGATATATAGTCTCTATCTTTTCAAGGATTTGGCCATATAAAGGGAGAAATAGAATAGATGAATAGGATACTATTTTACATTTATTGTGCTTCTTTTTTTAAAATACATTTTCCATTTATCATTTAATTCTATATTCACAGCAGTGCATTAAGGCAACAGGAAAATGAGTATCATTTATATTTAAGTTTATGAAACTTCAGTGTATTGGAACCAATAGATTTTAAAGTTCCTGACATTCATTAAAGAAAGACACTCCTGACACCCAAAATAAGGAAGGCTGTGTTACCTTTTACCCCTGGTGATTTATCTTGTGCAAAGAAAGTAGGCATGAAGGTCTTTGTTTCTGAGATGAGTCTTTTATTCTTTGTAAAGACAGTTAAGTACTTACAGGTAAAGGAAGGGGAGCAGAGCTTCTGTCTTGAATAAAGACCTACACCAGTGCCTCACTTAGTAACTAGCACATGCTGGTGTAAGGTACAGTTGTTTGCAGGCACTTACTGAGCTTTTGGTTCCCTGTTAATAACAGTTAATGTAACTGGACTTTGATCATAGTAATATTTATATTAACCCATAGGTTCCTAATTAAGTCCTCAATGGTTAATGGCTTATCTAGTTAAACTAAAGTATTTGCCAAAGTCCTTTTCTAACTCATTTACAGGTCTCTGAAACTTTGTTAATAGCAACATTAGTCTGTGTACCATCTGAAAGAACTCTAGTTCCTTTCCCTTTTCATCTGTTTACTCTCCTCTACATTTCTTTAGTCCTCTACAGTAAGCATGTATTCCTACACAACTGTCTTAGCTAACTAGTTAATAAGGAAATGGATTCCATATATATCATTTGAGAATTAAAAGGAGTCTAAATGGTGTCCTACTGTTCCATCTTCATTTAAATATTAGAAATCTGAACCCAGGTCACACTGACCATCAAATTCATCCAGCTTGGCATGATTGTTTGTTCATATTTGTAAGGTAATGAAATATTTGGAGACTTGCTCATTTTTCTAAGTGAATTATTGTGAATGAGACTTACAGGGTGAAAATGCTTCTCTGCATTCCATAACTGCCTGTTCCCCAAGAGACACTGAGTAGAGACTACCTGGCAAGTCATAGGATTGATAAGCCTTTGTCATTTTGGGATAGGGGTGAAACCCAATATAAATCTACATTAATTATTTGTAAAATTATATTTATATATATATGTATATATAATGACTCTTAGTTTGCATATTGTATGAAAATGTAAATTCAGCATATTTGGGTACTGATTATTGCCATCTGACTCTTTTTCCAAGTTGGTAGCTTTTGAAGTAGAGAGAATTAAAGTTGAAGAAAACAACCCAATGAAGATGATAAAGCACATCAGAGAACTTGCTGAGCAGCTATTCAAAAATGTAAGTGTATTTAGTCCATTTTAAAATATTAATAAAATGTTTCAATTTCAGAACTGAAAAGCTTCACCATTGTAGCTGTGATACTTGTGCTCTAGATAATCAGTCCCAAGATGTCACACTTGATCCTGTATGTCATAGTGTATAACATTTTTATATCAGTCACTGAGTCATGGAAATATCTTGACCACAGTTTTTCATCATTAGTCTTTGCCTTCATTGTAAGTTTTCTTCTGGGTCTCATGCTTATTTACTGCAGAATGTTTAGACACATTGGATATCAGAAGTATCTTAAATAGCATTGAGTGATATGCTCTGCTTCAGCATAGTGCACTGGTTCTCGTTGGAATTCTATTGTTTTGAAATAATGAAGTAATAAACTAAACTCACAGAAACTCAAAGATGAAAATGCTCCCTGGAGAGGGAAATGTTGTCATGTAAAAAATGAAGATGTGGTGAACAACAACCTGAATTCTTGGGCTGAATAGTGGGTTTTGGCTAAGTGGGTGCTGATTACTCCTGCTTGTGAAGCCTTTGATTTCTTTTGCTAAGAAACATAAATCAAGTGGGAAATATGGCCCTCTGAAGAAAAGCAGAGGGAGTTTTTCTTAAGGAATTTGGAGAGAACTTGATATTAGTGTTCTGGCCCCAATGCGTATTGTTTAATCTAGCTGTTTGACAAGGTAAACCATTTTGACAGTGAGTTATTAGTCACTGCTTTGTCACATACATTTGAAATCTGGGAGGCAGTAAGTTAAAAGCAGAAATACTAAACTACTACCTTGTTGTGTAGTTTCTAATAATTTTCTTTGCTTGTGCATGCAAGTGCACATGCATGTATTGAGTACTGAACCCAGATTTTTGGTGTGTGCAGCCATCCACTAAACTTCTGAGATAGTCCCTGCTCTACTCAATTATGCTCAAGTTCTACATTTGGAATCTCACCTTCCTTCGAGAGAAATAATTCTTTTTGAGAGATTTGTACTAAAACAAATGGTTTTTCTTTTCTGAACTGTACCCATAATCAGTTTTGGTGCAGAATTGAATATTCCTGGCTTATTTCTTTCAATTACTAGTGATTTTTATTATCAGTTTTCACAGAGTCTTTTGACTAACTTAAAAAGAACAATAATTAACACAGGCAGAAATTAGGCATACCATGCGTGGTCCTGGCAAAAGATTATTTTCTATTTTAATTATTCAACAGCAATACTTCATTGGACTGTCACTTATATATAATTAGTTCCTTTTCTAAGAAGCAATATTTTATATTCTTAAACATCTCATTTTAAGTCATACATGATTTTATCAAAAATTTAAATAAATGATATGGCATTAACCACTTTACATACAATATCTTTAATGTAGTGCAAATTTATGCCAGGTTCAGTATGCCCATTTTCTTGAGGCTATAATTGGCTCAGAATGATGTAGCTATTAATTGGGTGATATAATCCAGATTATAAATTTGTGAGTGTTCTCATGTATGATTTCTAACCTCACTCTGTCAGATTGGCTCTATCTGCAATTCCAAAAAATTAACAATCAGCCAGGCAGTGGTGGTACATACTTTTAATTCGAGCACTTAGGAGGCAGAGGCAGGCAGATCTCTTGTAGAAGGCTAGTCTGGTCTACAAAGTGAACTCCTGAAGAAACTGTTTGAAAACAACAACAACAACAACAACAACAAAAAGTGATGCTTACACTAATCTTTTTGACAGTGTTTTAGCATACTTCCTCACTTAGCAGTAACCCTGTATGTGGCAATGACCCTGTGCAGTAAGGGAAGACAGGTATTAAATAGATGAGGAAATTGAAGATTAGGAAGTAGTTTGTTCCTCTCTAGGTAGGAATGGTTTATTGATGCATTTCAAAGATGAGCAAAATGCCATGTGGGAATCAGTCTAATTAACTGAGTCAAATAGGACTGATACTTTTAGTAACTAGTTGTTTACTTCTTTGATTTTTTTTGCTGGGGAGGGAGTCTTAGAATCAGGGCTGTCTATATCGCCCTGGCTGTCTTGAAACTCCCTCTATAGACCAAGCTGGCTTCAATCTCAGAGATCCCCTTGCATGTGCCTCTGGGTTAAATGTCATATTCTGTTGGTCTTTGAAATGTTTGAAGACCTTCTATTTATCTAAATATATCTGTTTAACCTTGAAAGCATACCTAATATGACTACAAGTTTGATTAATATAGATGACTATTCACCTGTATTTCTTCATTGTATATTACATTTTTAAAGAGTTACATAGCACAATACCTCAAACAAGAGTAGAAACATACATTTAGCACAGTAAAAGTAACTTTAAATTTGTATCAATACACAAAAATCCATACCAATGTAAAATATTGAAGAATAATGAAAATATTGAAGTAGTTGATTTTTTTAGTTGAAAAGTAAATTCAATAATCTAGCCTTCTATCCTATCATTTCTATATTCCCCATATTTCTTTTCAGAAAGAGATCTTTAAGTTTAACTCCTTTGTTTAGCTTTTTTTCTGACTAAGACCAATAACAATTGTAACACACCCCCTTATAACCGGAAGAGAGAGGGAGTGCAGGCTTTACATTGGCATTTATAGTATAAGAGGCCACACCCAAGTGGACTGGTAACTTTAAGGCTACTTGCTGAAGGATTTCCTGTAGCACCTCCCCCTTTTGTTTAAATAAAAGAGTTCTAAGTCTAATAGAAAATTATATACAATAAGAACAAATGTCAAGTATAAAAATTAGAATTACAGCCAGCATAAACAATATCAAGCAAGAAACATGTGATAAATGTTTCAATAATTGTCCTATCCTAAGGAGTCTAAGTCTTATAAATAACTTAGCCAAGTCATGAGAGGAAAGTAACTATGACTGTCTAGTCTTAAACCCTATCGAAGACCCAAGAAGGGAAATAATATTACTTGAGTAACCAGAAAGTGCAATCAAGCAACTTCCAAAATGTGCAACAAAAGACAGAGACAACTGGCTACCTGGGCAGTCACCCAAAGTCTCATTTGCAACATTGGATCAACCAACTTTGAGTAAGGCCTAGAGTAACTGACAGACCGTTTTCAGAGGCAGAAATTTTTTTAAAACCATCTTAATTTGTCTTGGCAAGATTTGACAGTCTTTTTTGTTGTATCCTGCTTGTCCTGTATGGATATCATGCATTTTATCAGTGCTTGATGCACAAGCTGTTCCTTGCCCAAAGGTCAGTTTTGCAAGAAGAAAACAAACTCTAAGTGGAGTATCTTCAGTGCTCAACATTTTCTGGAGAATAGATTGGAGCTGCCAAGAGCAATTGTGTCTTATATCAACAGAACCCTAAGTTCTTTAAATGCCATATTTTACAGATTTTTAAAGTGGTTGAAGATTACCTATCTATGCAGAATATAATCTCTATGTTCTGAAGAACCTGATTAGTCTAACTATAAGTATGACAAACGTGGATGACTATTGACCTATATATAATTCTTTTTTTCTTTTACTTATTTATTTATTAAAGATTTCTGCCTCCCCCCCTCCACGGCCTCCCATTTCCCTCCCCCTCCCCCAATCAAGTCCCCCTCCCTCATCAGCCCTAAGAGCAATCAGGGTTCCCTGCCCTGTGGGAAGTCCAAGGAACTCCCACCTCCATCCAGGTCTAGTAAGGTGAGCATCCAAACTGCCTAGGCTCCCCCAAAGCCAGTACGTGCAGTAGGATCAAAAACCCATTGCCATTGTTCTTGACTTCTCAGTAGTCCTCATTGTCCACTATGTTCAGTGAGTCCGGTTTTATCCCAGGCTTTTTCAGACCCAGGCCAGCTGGCCTTGGTGAGTTCCCAATAGAACATCCCCATTGTCTCAGTGTGTGGGTGCACCCCTCGCGGTCCTGAGTTCCTTGAAGTCAGGGATGGTAATGCCTCCAGAAGATCCTTTATTGTATAAGATTGTTTTGGCTAGCCTGGGATTTTTGTTTTTCCATATAATGTTGATTATTGTCTTCTCCTGATCTGTGAAGAATTTTGATGGGATTTTGATGGGGATTTCATTGAATCTATAGATTGCTTTTGGTAGAATTGCCATTTTTACTATGTTGATCCTCCCAATCCAGGAGCAAGGAAGATCTTTCCATTTTCTGGTGTCCTCTTCAATTTCTTTGTTCAAAGACTTAAAGTTCTTGTCAAATAGATCTTTCACATCCTTGGTCAGAGTTACCCCAAGATATTTTATGCTATTTGTGGCTATCGTGAAAGGTGATGCTTCTCTAATTTCCCTCTCTGTTTCCTTATCCTTAGTGTATAGGAAGGCCACTGATTTTTTGGAGTTGATCTTGTATCCTGCCACATTACTAAAGGTGTTTATCAGCTGTAGGAGTTCTTTGGTAGAGTTTTTGGGGTCGCTTATGTATACTATCATATCATCTGCAAATAACGAGAGCTTAACTTCTTCTTTTCTGATACGAATCCCCTTGATCCCCTTATGTTGTCTTATTGCTATTGCTAGAACTTCAAGCACTATATTGAAGAGGTACGGAGAGAGTGGACAGCCTTGTCGTGTTCCTGATTTTAGTGGGATGGCTTTGATTTTTTCTCCGTTTAATTTAATGTTAGCTGTTGGCTTGCTGTAAATAGCTTTTATTATATTTAGGTAGGACCCTTGTATCCTTATTCTCCCCAAGACCTTTATCATAAAGGGGTGTTGAATTTTGTCGAATGCTTTTTCCGCATCTAGTGAAATGATCATATGGTTTTTTTCTTTCAGTTTATTTATATGGTGGATTACATTGATAGATTTGCGTATGTTGAACCAGCCCTGCATCTCTGGGATGAAGCCTACTTGATCATAATGGATAATTTTTCTTATGTGTTCTTGGATTCGGTTTGCCAGTATTTTATTGAAGATTTTTGCGTCGATGTTCATGAGTGAGATCGGTCTGTAATTCTCTTTCTTGGTTGGGTCTTTTTGTGGTTTTGGTATCAGGGTAACTGTAGCTTCATAAAAGGAATTTGGCAATGACTCTTCTGATTC